AGAACACCACAAATCCAGGATTACTGGGGTTTCCAACACGCGAGACAATGTTATCATTCCAATCAACACACAAAAGCACCTTGGTTCCTCTGCTCTTGTGAAAACAGCTCCTCRTGTCAATGCTCTAAATTCAGTGCCAACAACCTGCGATCCCCCAGGACAAGCAGGGGGTCAGGAGACAGACAAAAAAAGGGAAGATAATACAGTGCCAGACAAGAAGTGTTTCCCAAACCTAGAAAATTCTACACACCTATAAGGAAGCCTCAGCTCCTTATTTGCAAATCAGTTCTCTTTAAAGCAGGCTGCTGACATAATTTCCGTCTACGCTGTGCAGCAAGAGGAGATCAGTTTCCATAGCAATTCCAGTCGCTTTGTGCCCAGATGCAACACATGCTCCGTGTTCCCAGGCACAAAGCAGCTCCTCACCCATCACCATGGAGGACAGAGGCCTGGATGGCAAGGGTGAGCTTTAAGAGAATGGATGCAAATGGAAGATTCCTTCTCTTTTATGCTCAAGTTTAATCCAAAGCATAAATTCAGGTTTGCATTATATACAGAGGAAAGGAAAATAGCAGGCTCAAGGCAGATATCTAGGTTGTGTGATGGGCTTTGTGAGTCAGCAAAATAAAAGCTTTTGGATAGGATGGATTTTTCATCTTTCTTCTGATCTGGAGACTTCCATGTAAAATATCACAAGTCAGAGAGCCCTGGCATGCAGAGGCTCTGGGCATCATGCAGCATCGGTCCTGTTTCAGCTACCAGTGCTGGTGGATAAAAGGAGGAGGCAGTGGTTTGATTTGCTCTCCACAAGCAAGAAAATAGCCTCCCTCTTCCCAACATATGTCAGCATCTTTCTTGTTTCTGGTGCTTTAATGCTGCAATACTTTTTTCACCTCTCTCGACCGCAGAAGACCCYGGAGAACCTTTTCCCTTTCACTCATTAAAGCCACACTGAGGAAGACCGTCGAGGGAGCAAGATGCTCAGCCTGGCTGGAGGCTCAGGGCAGCTCTTGGCCTGCATCAGGCTGAGTCCTGCCTAAGCAGAGTCCTGTAGCACCTGCAGAAGTGTTCTTGTCACAAATCATTTTCAAGGAATGGATGCACAGAAATCCAACAGCAAATACAATGATGTCAACAGTAAAAATGTATGAGGATGCATATTGCATATCATGTAAACAGAAGGGAGAAACAAACAAACAAAAGCTAAAATTGCTTTAAGAAATAGTACCACAGTTCCTCCTCTTTTCATCTTTTCATAGTATAGCAGACCTCCCCTGTTCTGCACTTCTGACTTCCCAAAATAGGCTTCTACCCCTAGTTCCCCTCCCAGCAAGACAATGAAGCGTCTCAAAAGCCCCAGCAGGCAGAGCCTAGGGTGTCTAACAGCCTGTCGGTAGAAGAGCAGCCTTCCAGYGTTTCTAACTTTTTAAAACAGCATAAACCCAACAGGTGTCAGGTTTTGTTGCAAGGAGCAAACCAGCAGCCTAGGTACTCTGGAGGCTTTCAGTGTTCAGCTCCTCAAAGCAGCCCAAGGAACAGCACTGCTGGCAACTGAAAGAGGCTTGACTGAACAGAGTCCCCTTGCCCACAATTTTTCAAAGCAAGCACAGCCTCCAACATACGTTACTACAATAAACCAGACAACAGTTTCCTGAAGGTGGAGTTAAGAGAAAAAAATTCTCATAATTTCCTTTCTGCGGATTTTTTTTTTTTTTCTTAAGGCAGAAGCATTTCACTGAGATGCTTACTCTGGCATCTGAAAATGTCTCTTGCTCCTCCCAATACCTGTCCCATATGCCACACCTCAACCCCCTGCTTTTCTTCATATTTTGTGAGCAAAAGTCTGTAGCACCCTGCCAGTGAAACTATGGGAAGAGCATTAAACACATGGTGCTGCACATGTGAAAAAAGCTTTTCAGGATTTATTAAACGAAAACTCTGTACCTCTGTTCCTGGCAATATCACTAATGYTTTTAACATTTTTTCAGAAGCCAAAACTCTGGACATGGTTGCCACACACAAAGCTGGGCCTAAAGCATGACAGGTTAAATAGACTCAGAGGAACTCACTCCTATCACTATACTGGTCTCTTCCATGAAGTGACAGATACTCATGCTAGTTGTTGTTGTTGGACATAGCGTTCCTTCCCTCTCCTTTCCTTTCCCCCTGCCCAGTTCATGTAGACGCTCGTTTTGTCTAATCAGATGAACATTTATCTCCTGACAGGACAGAGCAGGCACCACTACAATTATCCTTCTCTCCATCCCTGTTTAACCAGGGATAGTTGAGAGGAAGCAATTGCAGGCAAGTGAAGTCCTATTTCTCTGCCTCTCGCTGCCATAAGCAATCAATTGGGAGCAAAGGGTCCATCTTGAAAATGTCAAACAGAATGGAAGAGACAAAAATCAAAAATGATCAAGACATTTCTCTGGGTCCAGACGCTCCCCTGAGTTCTTCCAGCACAGCTCACAGCACAGCTAGAGGAGTCTCCTTCCTGAGCTCACTGGTGCCAGGGGGTCCCTCAGCCTCCAATTAATTGCCCCTTACTCACTTCTCTAGGTCAGAAGAAGGTGCTGGAGCATCAGCCCTGCCTATCAGGCAGCAACATACCTTCCCYATCCCAAACAGCTTGCTCTCCTGCACCAAAGAAGTAAAATAACCACCACGAAAACAAAGAGATGTCAATGGGCATCAGTGACTTCAGCTGAAGCACAAGTGTTTCAGAGCATGGCCAGCCTGGAGCYTGGAAGAGGCATTTTTCAGTAGTGTGACCAGATACTCCAGCTGGACCTTGCCTGCCCTTATGAAATATGACACAAAGCCACCTTGACAGGGTTTCTCCTTTGCACACTACAGATCTAGGAGGTTACCCAGGGCAAGACAGGAGGTCTGGGCCCAGCACCTTTGTCATCTGGCGAAACACTCACTRAAAAGGAAATTCTGGACAGGAAATTGTTTAGAGGAAAATAATGGCCTTGTTGACTTGGAAACACTATTCTGCCTCAGCACTAGCATTAGGTGAAACTACACTGGTGGTACAGAAATACATCCATAGGACAGGGACTAAAATTACTTTCTGAGGGACCTTAGAGTRGTAACTCGCAGTGGTACTCTGCAGGTGCTCCAGTCCGAAGGCTTTCTAAAGTGAGAACATCCTCCTTCAAAACCAAAATGTTATTTGAAAATATTGTTATTACCCTTGTCTTTCAGAACTGAGAGTTTTTGCAGGAAAACAGCAAGCCACAACCACCTTTAGCTCCACACCAGAAACAGCCATACAGGTTCAGTTTGTTCTCAAATGCAGCAGCCCCCAGACTATCCAGTGGCCAACTCTATCTTTATCRAACACTTGTAACATCCACCTACTCCAGACAGAAAACAATAACAACAAAAAAAAAGCTTCAGCAAAGTATTTGCTGTCCCCTTCTCCGTTGTTGTAGGGATAGCCAGATTGATGCGTCAGTTCTCTACATCTACCTGCACTTCTCTGACTCATGAGATAGAGAGAAAATCTGGGTCAGAAATCTGCAGGCACACCTACACGTCCAGCGTACCTTCCCCAGGGAGCAAATAAACAACCTCACCCTGAAAGCACCTCCGTCCAAATCAGATATGTAAATGTGAGCTTAGTGTCTAGACTGCCGCTTTGGAGACACCCAAATGCACTGCCAAAGGCTCCATCAAACTTGGTGCTATGGGGAGGAATGTGCACACCAAAGGACTAAATATAATTGCCAATATGCCTGGCTCTTTATCTGAAGAGTAACTCTTTATCTGAGTAATTGCTGAGATAAAGTTGAATTTAAGACAATAATTCCCACATTAATTAGTGAGATTTGCGGAGCGTGGGTTCAGGAAAGTTGTCATTGCTCATAGCARTGGGGACGGCAAATCCAAAGCTCACAGCCAATACATAGCCAACACAGCCAATAGCATAAACCAAAGACTTTCTACTGTCCTATGAACCCTAAAATAAGATGAGCTTTCTGCAAACTCAATATWCCAGGTTTGACCAGGCAGACCTGCAACCACCACCGAACAAGTTTCAAACCAGATCTGACCTTAGCAATTCAGAAGGTCGACTATACAATTATATCTTCTTCTCCTGAACTTAAAAGGACATTTTCATGAAGAGTTTGGGCAGTCATTTCTTGCTACTGCCTTTCAAGATTTTGCGTCAGAATCAGCATCTCTCAAGTCCTGTCAACTTCAAAGAGCTGTTAATTGCATACACGGAGACAGAGACTTCAGGACATCTGACAGCCCCCATGACTGTGTACTAATAAACAGAACTTGCAGTGACATCGTTCCTTGCAAAATCCTCTCTCTTCCACTCCACTAGTGAAAACCTTTCTCTAGCTCCAAGACCACAGGAAGGAAGAAAAGCTCGAAGGCCAGCCATACATCAAGGCAGTTCAAATCCCTGTCAGATCTTGTTTCTTCACCAAGTGTTACTAGTTGGTGACCACCAGCTAGAGTTATCACTACGGGCTAAACTACTTCCTTGTGCCTTAGAGCACATATCTCTAGCTAGCAATAGAGCAATATCTCTTGCTAGATCTTTGAAGGAAATTCATGTCACTCTCAGGAGCTACAGGGAGCAGGACAACACATTCTACAGTAAAAGCCACCAATGAATTCTGCTGGAAGCAGAAATCTCAGCAGCAGCATGAAGCACTCAAGAATACATGCAAATACAGAGAATTCTGCTGAATTAAAGAATAGGGCACTGATTTTGTTATTCATTTTTGTATTTCACTCAATATTGACCTCTGCATATGAATGCTTCTTCCCTGCCACCTCTTTCTCATGCCTTGAAAGGCTTTCTAGTGAACAGTGCAAAAGCACCAAAACAGAGGTCCAAAGAACAAATCGGTCCACCTGCTACAAAGACTGATGGTACACGAAAAGGGCTCTGAATGGGCCTCCTACCAAAGCGCCTGTTCTCATCTCTTAGTCCACACATGAGGAGGAAGGAGAAGAAAGCCAGCAACACTTACGCAAGGCATGCCACTCATCCTGGCGGATTGTCTTGGTGATGTTGTAGGTGAGGTTCTTGGGAATGGTCGCTGAGGAGTAGTGGTACTTGATGTACGTGCACCGCTCAATTGCTCCTGGGAAGGGCAAAAAGCAGAGGAGAGAAAGTGCTGTTAAAGGGAGGCAGCATGTTTTCCCAACTGTAGAGCAGATGGACGTAACAACCAAAAGCAAAGGCTGAGAGCAAAACACTCCCCACTGTCAACCCACTGTGACAGCCAATGCCGTCTGCACCACAGACACAAGCTACAGGAACAGTAAACTCGTACAAACTTCTGACACATTAAGGGCTTCTCAGTGTCTGCCCGAGTGTCTGTTATCACAAGATATACATGAGATAAGTCACCCTTTCTTTCATTTTTTTCCCTGGGCTGTGAGCTACCAGCATGGTTACTACCATATACCAAGCAGAAACTGTAAATTCATACGCTATTTTACCCTGCAGCAATGCATCCCAGTGCCCACACTCCAGGAGATACACGAAGCACGTGTTTGATCTTTCCCTCAGTAATAAAAGCACAGCACAGCAGACATCATTTATATTTATAAAGGATGATTTTCCAGACCCCCTTTCATGCCACAGAGAAGCAGGACTAACAGAAGCAGCCATGACAGGTTACGACACCTCTCTAAGGCACCCAGACACTTTCACAGCAGGCTGTTTTGGCACCCCTGAACAAAGAACCTCTGCCTGTAACACAAATGCCTGGAATTGGCAACCTTTGTCCCTCTTAGGCAAGATTTCATCTATAGTCCATGAGAAAAAGCATCATGTGCTGATGCTCTGTTTTCTGCTCAATTCATTACAGTTTCTTTTCATAGCCACTTTCCTTCCTCTACAATAATTCTACCACCAAATCCTGATCCGCTGGCATTTCTATAGTTAACGTCCTTAAGGAAATTGGTCTGGCATAGCCAGAGGTTTCCACAGATCCCATTCTGGCAAAGTTTTGCACCTGGCCAGAAACCTATGAGCTCAACCTGTCTTTCATTGCTGGAAAGGCAGTAAGGTTTCCTAGATCCCTTTGCCAGCATCCTCACTAACACGGACCGTATTAGACACKTACTAATAAGAAATAAGGATCACATTCAAAGATTATGAAAGGCAGTTCTTTCCATTAATGCTATGGTACTTCAGATCGGGTCTTTAATAAATAAGCAGGCATCCTTAATGTGGCTGGCCACAGTTTTTGGTAGTAGCTACTACTGGTCAGAAAGGCAACTATGCTGGAAATGCTTTTATGTATTAAAATACATTAAGAGATGCACTCAATAGAATAAATTAAATGAAGCAATGAACTATATAAATAAGAACGAGAAAGTGCCTCTACCAGGAGGCAGGTAGAGAACACTCACTGTCAGCCTAAAGTGAAGACAACGTGAAGAGTCCTACAGTACAAGGGATTAAATGGTTTGACACCTCAAGAAATACAGGTTTCTGCCTCAGCTTGTAAAACAGTACTTAGCATGAATTTAGAGCATACACCATCAATTCACAATGTGTGTGGGGAAAAAGCAACTAAATTATTAGTTACATCCCAGTCCGCTAGCATCTTCCAAACTTAGGGCAGTGCAAACATTGAAGGTCCTCATTGTTTGCTTCTCTTGAGCATTCCTCACATTCTGCCTTTGACAGCAATTAGATTAGACAAAGCCAAATATTATAGGGGAAAAAGGCAAAATATTTACATATGTATCCGCCTGCCCTGACAGCGTGATGGGCTTCTGTGTGAGTCTGCACCATCTGGGCACCAAATGTACGCCCAGAATTAAAGTTTCAAACCAAGAATAGTATTTAAAAAAAGAAACCCAACATGAAGAGCGCTTTAAACCTCGCACATACACACTCCCCCAAAATTGCAACCTTCACAGTAATGAACTTAATGTCTTCATATTGGTTTTCCTATCTCCTTTTGTTCAGCTGCTTTCATGATTCAGAACCATTGGCAAGAAGATGGAAAATGCTTATTTGTCAGAAAATAATCTTTAAATTATCGGCTACCTGGCTAGAGAAAGGATTTATCTAGAACAGGAGACAGGAATAGAGAGTCAAGATTCAAAATAAGATAGCACAGAAAGAAGGAAGAAAAAGATATAACCTATAAATATATATAGTTTATATCTTATATAGAATCCTATATTCAACTTCCACCTAAGAATCTATAGAATCCTACACATACACATATATATAGTCCATAGGACAGGATTTCTTAGACAAAATAAGCAGTAGAAAACACCTCCTCTGACATGTAAAGAGGCTAAATTCTAGCCAGGTCAACAGAACTTCCAGTCTTACTATAAACCCTGTTAGCAACACACAAGATGCTTCACTACTTCATATCATCGACTGTACCCGTAAGCCCCTCAGCACCCTGCCTGCTAAACCCTSTCCCTAAGTACTCGTCTGCATCTTTCATGAACACTGCCAGGGACAGCGACTCCACTGCTTCCCTGGGCAGCCTGTTCCAATGTTTCATCACTCTTTCCATGGAGAAGTTTTTTCCTATTATCTAACTTGAACTTCTCCTGGCACACCTTGAGGCCATTTCCTCTTGTCCTATTGGCAGATATTACAGACAAGAGATCAACCTCCCACCTCACGACAACCTCCTTTCTGCTTTAAGTAGGGAGCAATAAGGTCTCCCTGAGCCTCCTCTTCTCCAGACTAAATAACCCCAGATTCCTCATCCATTCTTTGTAAGGTCTGTGCTCCAGCCCTTTCACCAGCTTCCTTGCCCTTTTTTGAACACACACCAAGGCCTCCACATCTTTCTTGCAGTGAGGAGTCCAAACCTTAACACAGTATTCAAGTACAGAGTACTTGAGTACAGAAGGAGGACCACTTCCCTGGTCCTGATAGCTACACTGCTCCCGCTGCAAGCCATGAGGCCATTGGCCTTCCTGGCCACCTGGGCACACTRTTGCCCCCTGTTCAGCTGGCTGTCGAGCAACACCCCCAGATTCTTCTCTGCTGTGCAGTTCTCCGGCCATTCTATCCCAAGCCTGTAGTGCTGCATGGGGTTGTTTTGACCAAAGTGCAGGACCTGGCTCTTGACCACTTTGAACCTCATGCAGTTGGTCTTAGATCGTCAATCCAGCCTGCCCAGAKCCCTCTGCAGAGCCTTCCTACCCTCAAATAGATCTACTCGTCCTCCCAGCTTGGTGTCATCTGCAAACTTACTGAGTTCACACTCAATCAGATCATCAATAAAGATATTAAAGAGCTGCAACACTGACCCCGGGGAACACTGTTCATGACTGGTTGCCATCTGGATTTAATTCCATTCACCACCACTCCCTGGGCCGGTCCATCCAGCCAGTTTCTCACCCAGTGAAGAGTCCGCCTGTCTAAGCCATGAGTTGCTGGCTTCTCCAGGAGAAGGAGGTGGGAGACTGTGTCAAAAGGTTTTACTGAAGCCTAAGTAGACCACACCCACAGCCTTTCCCTCATCCACTAGGCAGGTCACCTGGTCATAGAAACAGATCAGGTTGGTGAGGCAGGACCTGCCGCCTTTCATGAACCCAAGCTGCTGAGCCTGATCCCCAGGTTGCCAAGCACATGCTGCATGATCACTCTCAGGAGGATCTGCTCCAGAGCTTTCCCCAATATCGAGATCGGGCTGACAGCTCTGTAATTCTGCCTCATCGGGGACCTCCCCTGTTGACCAAGACTGCTGATAAATGATGGAGAGTGATTTTTTTTTCTTGGTGTGTAAAAAAAACAAACTACAGAATGCTTGAGCTTCACATTTGCCTGACAGATAGCAGCACTGCAGTGTAACCTGTGCCTTTATTGGACTTTTTTAACTACTGAAGGAATGAAAGAGACAACTGAAACTGTATGGCTTGTGGAGATATACAGYGCAGATTATAACTTGGTTCTGATTTCCATTTACAGGTTTTGCACCTTCAGACATCACTCCAAACTGGAAGAAGAAGTAGCAATGGTGTTAGGGGTAAGGTTGTTTCTTTTCCAAAATATATGGTATGTTGTTTCCAGAAAAATACCTGCTATAAGGTTAAGCACTCAACCCTGTCRTCAATGACTGTAACAGCACATCAGGTGATAGGACAGACCTATGTCCAAAGCACGACCTACAGTAGGCATATATGGCATGTGCTGTGCCTTACTGCACTGGGTTGCTGTTCTAGCCAGGTACCATAGTGTAGTGTATTGTACCACATTAAGCAGATGTGGTAGAGCCTCAAATCACAGTATCTAAATCAATGKCTTAATCTAAATTATAGAGTGAGGGATTAGAGCAAAGGYTTCTGATTATGGGATTAGAGTGAGGGGTTGGGATTAGGGAATTAGAGAGAGGGATTTTGAGTGAGGATTAGAGTGATGTTGAAAGTCTGTCCAAAACTAAGAGTACAAGTGCAGCAGCACTAGCTCAACAGTAGTTGAAATACAGGTATATTTGAATGGTAAATTCCACGACAACCCCCTTTCCAGCCATAGCACTTTTTTCCCCCACACAATGTTCGCACCTCTGCATAAAATGTTGACTAGTAACAAATTAGCATTGTGACTCTAGCCAAAAGCCTGCAAGTGTCAATAGGGAAGGCATTTTTCAGCGTAGACACCTTCTGCTTCCACCACTACTTTGTTTTACAGTACTGAGGGTGGCCACGAAGCGCACTGAGCAGAGCTGATCAGAGCTCTGAAGCAATACAGAGTTTTTGGGKTTTTTTTTTCAGATCCTTGCCCAACACAATCCTCCAGGTCAGACAGAAAACAGTGCTCCAAGTTTTTTATCCTCCTCTGAAGCACTAAGCATAGGTTCACTGCTGGAACGGGTAATTCTAAGGAATTTTAGTGTTACCAGACTCAATAGTACAGCCTAAGCTACTGGGCTCAAAGGGATAAATGGGTTAAGTGTAACCATCTATGACATGCCAGAACTCAGCTTGCCTGATCTAATTGGCCCTTTTGGCTTTAGACTATTAAATTCTCCTGTGAACACAAAGTAATACACTCCAGGGAATGCAGTTCAGGATATTTTAGAGCYGACTTCTATTAATTTCCAGCACTTAAGTTACTTCAGACTCTAGAAAACCAATGACTSCCACAAGG